TATTTTTTTACAACTTTGCTGCCTTCCTTTTCTTTACGTCATTCTTAAATTGTCAGATTACTGGAATATACACTTTTTAGCATGTAATTAACTCACCCTGCCTTAATCTGACGCGCTCGTGAATTTCAATTTTTTTTACTAATCTGATTCTTTATCCTTCACGGGCGGCCTTATATATGAGGCTCATATTTGGTGGAGGTACTTAAACGAGTACAAGGTATCTCCCTGTATATTAATCTGCCGCGCTTTAGTAAATCCTGAAATCCCCTATTGGACTCCCCTATGATAATAAACATGGAGAGAACCCAGTAAAACCCTAAGGTTGTGCATGGGAATTCTTTACTTATTGTGTTACCAAGTAATCTTCGAACAGTATAGGTATTTCAGTGTGAGTATTTACAATATTTACAATATTCTGGGCCTGTAAAAAAGAAATGACAATGAGAGGAAAATCGATAATTCAGTTCATTTCTATAGCTATGAAAGTAGGGAATTTTGGATAAGTTATTTCTTATCAATTATATTAAATATGGTTTCATGATCTACTCTGAGGAGATACTTTTTGAATATATTTTTTATTAGTGGTATCGAGTTGACTTTCATTAGCTTATTTTTATGCAAATCCTGTAGAAAGTTATAGAATTTATTTGCTAAAAAAACTGAAACAACGTTGTGCCACCGATTTTTTTGTTGTTTGTATTTGTCTAACCTAACCTAACCTAACCAACATTTTTGTTTTGTTTCTTGAGGTACAACTATGCTCTAACTGGGTGTATTAAGCTGAGGATAGCTGTATCCTCGAAAATCTTTTTTGACGGATACGTATATTTTTTTGGTAAATTATTTTCAAAATTTTTTTTTCGCACTATCTCAAGTTTTTGAAGATGAGTATTAAGATAGATAAGATACTACAGACACATACTACAGTGATCGAACACAACAATGGGTTTACATCATAAGATGATTGGTTGTCGAAGATACTATACTTCCAAGGCCTAATCATCAGCTCACAAATCATTTTACTTCTGCTGAAAAAAATAACCAAAGAAGCAAGAATTTGAATACCCCCCCGTCTGGTAACCAATAAAATCGATCGTTGCAGAAAGATCGCGGTGTTGCCAAGGATTGTAACTTTCACCATTTTTTTCTGGAAGACGTTGTAGTAAAACGTTTGATTTTAATCAAATTAAAATGTTGTCCTTTTCCTGAGAAAACATTACATCTCTATGAGTGTATGATAATTTTACGGGATAAAGGTATGTCGTGTCGTCAGCCCTATGAGTTATTTTTGAATTGCGTTTGATTTGTATGCTCCATGGTTAAAATATGTTTTGTACTCAATTGTAGAAAAAATTCATCCATAATAAATGAATATTATTTCACTGATCCGAAAAACACAGCTATAAGGTATCTTATTCTCTCATTTTGTTCTATAATATAAATCCACGCATTCCGTATCAAAATACTGCAGCTTCTCCAAGTGAATCGCAAAAATTATCCACTCGTAGCAAGTTGTCACCGTCTGCTATAACGAATGTTATAGCAGACGGTGCCCATGATATCAATAATATATTTCAATAAAAAACAACTCCACCTCAAACCACAGTATTTTTGGAAAAAAAGACCTAAAAAGATGCTGTGGTTGGCAATATAGCTGTTATAACAGCAAAGTTCATTTTGATGCGTATGACATGTTTAAAAATGTAAGTGTTTGAAATGTATTTTTCCTTAGACAGCTGTCGTCTCCTTAGGACGACAACCCTCAGAAGTCGGTAATTGTGCGAACCCAGGATTAACGAGGTCCTACAACTGAACGTGCCAATCCAAGCTACCGTCTGACCGTATTAACGGATAGTATGAGGTGAAATTCGAAATAAATGAATTTTAGTGTGAATGCGATTAACGAAGTAATCTCGGAAATTATACTGTCTGCTCAAAAACCTATATAAATAAACAGTAATAAACGATAGCAAAGAAACGACTTCACGGTTTGTCACCCTCTGGAAATATCACTTGAATATAAATGTTTTTTCATATCAACAAATTTTCATTTTAACAAATCAAATAAGTAACCTTGACGCCATGAAGATTTCATAAATCTGACGCTTGACAAAAACTGCCAAAACACTTTTTTAATTGCATGCAATTACAGTGTTTGATGGTTTTCCTGATAATTTAGTCAATAATGAATAAGTACCAGTTTTTTCATGGTTTTATTAATTGATAACAAAAATCATAATATTGCCGGCTAGTTTCGAGGAGGTGAAACCTCGAAAAATTATAGAGTTCCCATTATAAATAAAAGTTGATTTGTGAAAACATTTGAAGCCGACCAAAATCATAATGAAAATACCCATAAAANGTACCATCACTGTTAATTGCTTTTATTTTTGTATGTTTGCGTGCATTATGGAGTGGTGCTTGTTGGTTGAGTTAGAGTAGCTTTGAGCTAGACTTCGCCAAGGAGTACCAGAATCTCCTGTAAACTATTTTCATTTTCAAATATATCTTTGTATTGTTTTTTTTTTTTGTATTATCAATAAAGCCGATTTATTATTATTATTATTAACTAACCGGTTAGGTTAGGGTAGGTCGAAAGTGAGTGGGTCTATTCGACTCTCCACTGCAACCCGCAAGGGTTTATTGTGGTTCACACCTATTTACACTCGACCAAATGAACCCAGCTTCTTAACGAAGCCGATTAGTTTGTAAGATGAGTGGTCTTTCAGGTCAGATGGTAAGAGTATGGCTCTGCCGAACTCTAAAAACCTGATTCGGTCCCCAGCGGGGCAGTCATAAAGTATATGCTCTGCTGTTTCATCGTAAATGAGTTAGTCGGATAGTCAAGGTGCAAGATATCCACCTTGATACCCGCGACAACCTTCCCATGACTTCCTAACTGACAGGACTTTGGATTGTCAATTTCCCTATTGTACATAGATATTGAATAATATGATATATAGATTTGACCCATCCTTGATGGAAATGGAATGAAACCTCACATCAAATTCTGTTTTTTGAATAGATATTGAATAACTTAATAACCACACAAATCATATATTACTATAAACATTTTTCGAGCGCCTTAAGGCAAGCTTCATTTTCAAAAAAAGAACGACCCCCTGAGCCATACATCACTATTCATGGTATATTTTCAAAAAATCTTGTATAAATGTGTATAAATTCATATGTAACAATAATATATACATTCGAAAATGTATTCAAAGATCGCCGATATTATCTAATATTTTCTAATTTTTACTATTTAGACTAGACGCAATATATGAAACAAGAAATGGGATGAGGATATTAATAAATTACACGTCATGTCGACTGGCACCTGGACTAAAGACAAACAGATCACTTCACTTTCTTCATGAATTTTTTCCTTTGGAAATATTAAATATTTTAAAAGAACCAAAACGATCATGAGTCTTTGAAAGTGGTACAAAAAGTTTCACCAAAAAATACGAACGATAGTTGAATTTCAGAAACTTCATGTAAACTATTTCCATACCGAATAGTCTTTCTTGTGAAGGAAAACAGAGTTGTTTGGATATTTTAACTGTCCACAAACGGAACTGTCTTATTCACCCTGAAAAGTTACTGCAAGCACCAAAGTGAAGAAAACTGCAGTAACGTTCGTTACAAATACAAGTGGTATAATATGGATGATCTCCTACGACGTATATCCATCAATTCAGTGAAGAAAACTTATGACGCCATCTTATTTCGATTGGGGAATTTTGGATTTGGATTTATCGATGAAATATTCAGCCCTTTTTTGGTAAGCTAAATTAATACCATTACGTAAATAGACGATTGTTAAAATTGAAATGTTATAAATAAGAGTTGTATAAGATCATAATAATGTTCGTTCTAATATGTCACCATACCACAAATAAATCTATCACCATTGAAATAATAACAGATTTAGTTCAAATACCTTTTTTGATTCGTAATATCAATTAGATATATTATCAAAATTTGGAAGATGTTTGCTATTTCTCCAACCTTTTCTATACCTAAGTAATGCTCTTCCTTACATTTATAATCAGATATTCATTATGAAAATAGATAGAACCCATATTATTGAAAAAACATATTAACGAGCACATTGATCTATAAAAATTAATCAAAATTATATCCTGAAACTACAAGAAAAAAACAACTCTATGTAAGTAGATAGGTAAATTTTCGAGAAAAGAAGATTTGAAAAAAAATTATTGTAAAAAGGCTAAAGCTCACTTGGTCTTTCATTTTCTATTCGATGGGTACATTTTTTTTATTTATTTTGCTTCAACCATAGTGGGTTATTAGTTATATGTCGTTTATAAATTGTTATGATTGGTACAATGTTATGTCATTCAAGAAGTAAAATGTCAATAATGAAAATTCACAATGAAAATAATAATGAAAAAGTTTTATAAATTTCATCAAAAAGCTTTTTTATTGTAACACTTATTTTCATTATTGACATATTAGTACTTCAAAAAATAGTACTTTCTATACATGTAGATGTAGGATTCAATATGAAATGATTGAAGTATATTTAACTATTTTATATATTTCAACTCACGAAGAAAGCTTGATGGAATCCGAATACATACCTCCTAAGCAACGGTAGAAACTAGATACTAAATACAGTTAGATAAACACCAACTATGAACATATAAAAACATCCTATCAAACAACTTTTTGCAGTTAACCGCATTATGGGATAGAAACATTATTTTTGAAAAACGAAAAATAAATCAACAATAGATAAACAGAAATAAAGTTAAAAAATTCTGCATGTAATGATTTATTCAGGGTGTAAAATCGTATGGATATATAGATAATTTCAGGTTTCAATTTAGAATATCCAGGCATACATTAACGTGTGCACCCACATGTAGCATGTAGATTACTGTTTTAGCGGATATAAGAGAAGTTTTTGATTAGTCACCCGTACATTTTCCTATATATAAATAAAACATCGGTGCATAAATTAGTCTTACCTTGTTTTGTACTACATCCACTATAACATAAATGAGGAGAACGATTTCTTGCTCGTCAGACCCCATAAGGGGGCCCTGGATTCCTGCCGTGGCCACGTACAAAACACAAATATAGTGCGGCCCGATCATATTTAAGCCCTTTATGCTCATCTGTCAAGATATTTTCCCGAGAATAACTTTAACGCGGCATATTTACACAAGCCATTTCATAAACAATCCGACATTTTGCCACGTGACACCTGTTTGATTCAGGTAAAGGTGGAATCCGTTGGAAAATGTTTGTTTGGATTTTTTTATTTTGTTCAAGGTATCGGGAGAAACAGTCCACTTATCAATGCTTTGTTGTATAAAATAAAATCACAGTCATTTGTTATACCTAACCTAATTTTCGACGAGAAACAAATAACACACACGTAAGTACCTACAATAATAATAAAAATATCACAATATTTAGATAACGAAACGGCGATTTTCGAGTGTTTTGAACAATTCTAGGTTGGTGCTGGAGTTCCTTAGTTGTTTTTCAAATGGACACTTGTATCTTTGTAAGGAAACACATTCACTAGTCACTTCACAATTTAATTATACAGTTTTATGCGACACTCAAATTCGACTCTACCTTAGCAGGTAAACCGCGACGAAAACAATTGAAACAACCGAAAGTGTCCATAACGTTCACAGCCTTCCTGACATTTGACAACTTTGTCTAGTTTTGGATGTTTTCGTGTAAATTCACTGTACAGGTATCTCTGTAGCCTCAATTTCTCATGCGAAGAGACCGCGTAGACTGGTTTACCTGAGCGTGGTGAACCAATAGGAGGAAGGGACGGTGTACAGTCTAACGCAAGGTAACTAACTGTACCTCTTATTCGATAGTTATATAATTAAACAACTTCGGTTGCCGCATGTTGTCTGTTTTATTTATTTATTTCTATTTCAAGTCATTCATAATGGTGATGGGCCTCCATCTAAGAGTAATTCTGCTTTTCAAAACGCCTGCTGCAATTCATTTGCCTCGTCATGTGTTGGATGTTGGTTATGTGCATACCTACTTGTTACTTCATGCATTTTAATCATATTGGTATAAAACTGACAGTCATAGAGTGGGTCATTCGTAGATACTAAAAAATGACAAAGTATTTGTAATTGAGAAAGCAACAAACTACATAAAACCAACGAGAATGTTGAAGCTTGGTAGATAGGTGGATATTGATCGTTCATGGATTCAGGAAAAATTCTTCATTTTATAGTACTTTTTTGGAGGGCATAACCAGGGGGGATGTCAGCCTTTAACTCAGCTTATGATTGATAATAGTAAAATTGAGTTGTGCTCTTGGAATACTTTTCATGAATTTGGATAGATTTTTAATTGAGTTTTCATAACTTTATTTTTTTTGAGTAATGATTGATGTTTGGAAAAAACATTTTTATTACTCTTTCATATTATAAAGTGAGTGACTAAATTGAGAAGCAAATTATTCATTTCGAAAAAGTGGATTATTTTCTCGAAAAGTCCTACGTTATGTCACGTAGTAAATGATTTTTTAAATTGAAATATGGATCGTGTGACACATTTGACAACACTGTATTTGACGATACCTTCATTCAAATTGATCCATGTGTTTTTACAAGATGAACAAAAATGAATATGTAATTTCGTTTACTGAATACAACCAATGAAATACCTAAATCGTGAAATCAAGTTATTTTTCAATTTTATTAGAAAAATATACAGCTTCAAGATGTTGAGATGTTGAGTGGCACTTTATCGGTCCTTGTTTACCAATTAGTAAATTGGTAAACGAGTAACCACATTGCGTAAGTTTCCTTTTTAATATACTGAAGAATTGGTGGAAAACCATACATGAATTTTTATAAATCTGAAAATTTCATTAGAAAGACTACCGTAAGGTCATGGTCCCCGAAACAAAATCGTCGGAGCGCCCTTGTGTTTTCCTTCACTTGTTACATGTACATAACAGTGAATTCTATTACATTAATTGATCACCTACACGTTAATTTGAGGATTTCTCGGTTATACCACTTGAAACGAATCCTTCACTCAATAATAATAATAATACATTTATTATTTATCAATATATAAAGTACAGCAAGCGCCAAACGTGATGGCGAGCCCCATGCGCACAAACTCCGTTTCAATGTAACCCCACTACAGCTCTTGCAAGACATACAAATGCTCTGTAGAGAGGCGAATCATTACTTGTCCTCCAATGCTGTTGGCGTTTGGCATCGTCTGAATAATTTGTGTTGTTTCATCACGTGCCTGACTCATCAAATATTTTTTTAAAGTGTTCAATACCTATAATACTAAATAAAATATGAAAAAATAATTACAAAGAAGTCATGTTCCATCGTAATCCAATATTAATTCAGTTGGGAGGGTATATACCTGCGCGATCGCTCGCCATCAGCCGTGGAGTGTACTGTAGGAAGTTTTATTTCTCATTTTCCAAGAAAAGGATAAATTTATATACAGACTTTTAGTCGGTTTGGGACCATTCTCTCATACCTTTTATCTTTTAACAATTGGTCATTAATTACTATTCAAATTTACGGATCAAATGGTTAAATAGTTTAATACTGGAACCCTCCTTTTAGAAAAGGCTGGTTAAGAATATATGATAAACAGTTCATTAACTTTATAATCTATTGTCATAATAAATAGGACTTTGATTCCGTGAGGTTGTTGAAAAATTATATAGAACAGTCCATTTTTTAATTTTAGAAATTGTGACGAGTTTTTATATATTTGAACTCTCTATGCTTCCTACGGTTTGTATACTAACAAAAAGTGAATATTTTTTTATATTGTGCGACTTTTTGTATGTCGAGGGACAGAATAAACGACGATTCGGAATAAATATGAAACGACAATTTTTGTCGTTCAGTGACATCAGTGACGACAAGAAGAAGTCAACTCTGTTGGAAGTAATATTAGATTCTAAACTGGCTCGGAACCAACATTAAGGTAGCTGAGAGATCAAAAGAAGACCTAATCTGTGAATATCAAAGATGAACGAGGCCCCCAAGCTAATTTTCGACATAGACAACTGCTAAGCGAGATTCTTTCTATCTGTGTTTTCGTTAGAAACAATAGTGGTTAGTTTGGTATCGAAAATATTTATTTATAATTATTGCCTTGTAATGTGTATTCCTAATCGAAATTTGTTTCAATTCTCCTAACAAATGTAATCACAATTACTATGTCTTTCTATAATAATGGAGAAAATTTTCAAATTCAGTAAATCAAAATAAATTCAAAAGTGGAGCCTTTCACGAAAAAAACGTTTGGAAAGTAAATGAAAATTGCTTTAAAGTCAACAAAAAATGCATGTATTATATCCCGCTGTCTCTTATATTCTCTATAGATACTTATATCCTCTATGTCTATCTCTATATCTATGTATATGTCTGTGTCTATGTATATGTATATGACTATCTCTATGTCTATCTCTATCTATATGTCTTTGTATATGTATATGTCTATGTTTATCTCTATGTCTTTGTCTATGTCCATGTCTATGTTGATGTCAATGTTAAAGTTAATGTCAATGCCATTGTTAATGTTGATGTCGATGTTGATGTTAATGGTAATATCGATGTCGATATTGATGTTAATGTCGATGTCAATGTTAAAGTTATTGTCAATGCCATTGTCAATGCCATTGTTAATGTTTTTGTCATTGTTGATGTAAATGTCAATGCTAATGTTAACGTTAACGCTGAAGTTAATGTTAATGTTAATCAACGGTGGTGTTAATATTTTAGATACGTTTTGGAATCAGAAAGTTTGAATATCAATTCAAAAAGTAATGCTTTAAATTGAAAGGGGAATATTTTAACAAAACATATTTTTTAAAAGAACTGTTTTTATTTCAATTTTTACATTTCGAATAGTTTGCTGAACTCAATTGTATCCAAAGGAGAAGTCTGAGAAAGTAAAGACAATGACATCTTTCCTTACGAAGACACCATCTAGGGATCGACAGACGATTCAATCCACGAATATGAAAGAGAAACGAGGATCCCCATTTTTAATTTATTTTTTGTATAACAAATTATATTTCGTTTTTCTTAATGGTTAGGCATGTTGAAATACATGGAAATTCATAGTTTTCATTGAAAGTATTTCATTGGTTTGAAGGAATGTCAGAAAAAAACTATTGGACTTATCGATTATGTTGATGTGGAAGATCAACAGACCTCTTTTTCTGTTCAGTCGGTGTTTATTGTATGATTGTTATTAACGATTTTTATATTTGCATTGGACGATAGTTGCAGATAATGTTCCATACTAGACCAGCCGTCGTAGAGGCGTCGTAATCCTGATATGTCCTTGTCAACAATTATTTTTGAAAACATCGCATCCAAATTCCTTAACGTTTAAGAAATCCATCACTTAATTTCAATGAATAAATCTGCAAAGTTCTAGTAAAACTTATACAGGGTGACAATTTTAAAACTTACAATGGCTATATCTGAGTAACCAAATAAAATATAAGATATCGCTGAAAACAACTTCCATAATAGGGAGGGGGAAACAAAATGATATAATAGCTAACTTGTTTTCACTTATCCCCTAGTCCCCAGCCACCCCATATAGTCTTGAATGGCAACCCCCTACTTGTGATACCTATTCTTAAAGCTCCTAAGAAATGCTCTTCAATGGTACCCTACAAAGCTACATTCGATGTAGTAGTTTTTGGGTAATAAAATTGATTTATGTGAATTGAAATTTTATTTTCCATTATTAATTTAAGAAATGTTCGAAATGATTTCCATTCTTTACAAGACAATGATAGAATGTATTTTCAAACACTTGACGTATTGTTTTCTTCAGTTGCTCTATTGAGTCAAGTCGCGTCTTGAAAACAACAGATTTGAGGTGGCCCCAGAGGAAGAAATCAAAAGGAGATAGGTCTGGGGATCTAGTAGGTCATTCAATAGAATTTTACCAGATTTTTTTACATAATGAGGAGGTTTCCCATCCTATTGAAAATGTAATAAATTTTCTTTTAAAGACTAATTGCCGTGTATCTCTCTGATTCTCTAATTCATGAACTATCCGAAGTTCGATAGATCTTTCTAACATGTGAGCATACATTCCGCCGTTTTAATTTCCTACTATAAATAAATGACCACTAATTGCATCTCCTAATATACCAACCCAAACATTTACTTTTTTGGGGTATTGCGTATGCCTTTCTCTGAATAGTCGTGGGTTCTCGCCACTTCAGTAACGACAAATTTGTTTCTTCCTGTGCCCATTCGAATAAAAAGTGCAGTCGTCACTAAGGCCGGTGACATACTTCGCGATTTCCGAGCGGTTTTTTCCACCGGTTTTTTTCAGCTGAGTAAAAATCGCTACAATGAGTACCTGACAGTGTCCGTGATTTCTGAACGATTTTCTGACAGAAGGTGCTCTTTCTGGAAGACGCCAGCCAAGGAGGTACAACGTGCATCGAAAAAGGAACCAGAAAAAAAGGTTTTCTGTTATACGAGTGCCCCTACGACCGTCTATGCTTTATCTCTTTCCAGTTTGTTAAAAAAACTACCAGGGTCGCTTTTGTCCCACAAACAACGCTATGAATCAAAATTTCCACTTCCATTCTCGAATCGCAACTGAAAAACCGCTCGGAAATAGTCAACCCTGTCGGGTCCCATTCATTTACCTGGGTTCCCCCTCTCTTCTACGTGGTCGCCCTTGCCCTCCGATTGTCGCTCGGAATCCGACGACCGGTCGGCTGGAAGAAATCGCCCTTGTTAAAAATCTGAAACTCTGTCATGTTCCATTTAAAGCAGGAGTTGGCCGCTCGAAAATCGCGCTGGAAAAAGCCGCCCGGAA